AAGGCAGTACAGCACAGAGAAGACAAATAGTGATTCTATAGCATCTTACTACACTGATGGACAGTGACTGTAATGGGGTATGTGGTGGGGACTTGATAATGGGGGGAGTCTAGTAACCATAATTTTGCTCATGTAATTGTACATTAATGATACCAAAAAAAAAAAACAAACCCACAACTCTCAGAGCTTCTGGATGTCAGAACTGAGGGAAGGAATCTATGATCTTCATCTGCAGTAGAATGGGATAATCATCATCTCCATATCCTAGGGTGTTTGTACAGGTGAAATGCAATACCCACGTAAAGCATTCAACCCAGGGCCCAGAACACTATACTCAGTATATGAGGGTTATCATTCACATATATAGTTTAAATTCTGCAAGTGTGGACATACATATTCCTTAAAAGTATGAATATATATCAATTTATAATTTCTATAGTGACATGCATTTCATTTATCTATTTGTGTTTTTACACACATGGGCTTTATATTGTTTTATATACATATATGTACATATCTATTTTCATAATATATATGGTTATGTTTATATCATGTCTATTTCAGTAAGTACGTGTATTTCTATTCATTACAGTTCAAAATTATTTAATTTTCTATACTTAAACTTTATTTTTTTCCTAAAGTTTTGTTACTCCAATACATGGAAATGGCTAGAAAGATTTTTTAACAAATATGGAGGATATGCCTGAGGTAAACTAATTTAAAATATAGGCTATGTGGCCTGTAGACAATTCACTTGGGAGGGTACAGGGGGACATCTACGCGAGCAGCCAAAACGGCTTCAGCTATGGAAAACAGTACACTGGTTCCCCGAAACATTAAAAATAGAACTACCACAGGATCCAGCAATCCCACTTCTGGGTATATACCCAAAGAAAATTAAATCTGGATCTCAGAGAGATTGTCTGCACTCCTTCATGTTCACTGCTGCATTATTCCCAGAAGCCAAGACATGGAAACAACCCAAGATTATACCACAAATGAGCAGATAAAGAAAAGGTGGTATATACATACAGTACATTATTATTCAGCCATAAAAAAAAAAAGAAGGAAATTGGGCATTTTTGGTAGCACGGATGGGCCTGGTAGACATGCTAAATGAAATAAGCCAGACACAGAAAGACAACTACTGCACAATCTCACTTAAATGTGGAATCTGAAAAACTCCCACAAGCAGTGAACAGAACGGTGGTTGCCAAGGGCAGGGGACGGGGAGGGGGTGATGTTGGTCATAAGGTACAAAGTTTTAGTTATGCAGGACTAATACATGCACAGCGTGGTGACTAGGGCTAACATATCAAGTTACGTACCTTAAATATACATAATTTCTATGTGGCAGTTATACCTCAATAAAGCTGAAAAAAATGTGCTTTATCAATACAATGATAAACCTTAATAGGCTTGATCAATAAGGCTTAATAAGGAAGAAAATCTTGTCTTATGCTACAACATGGATGAACCCTGAGGCTATTATGTTAAGTGAAATAAACCAATCACAGAAGGACAAATAAGTATGATTCCACTTATGTGAGGCACTTGGAGCAGACAAAATTATAGGGACAGAAAGTAGAATGGGGGCTGGGGGAAGGGAGGGATGGGGAGTTAAGAGCTTAATGGGGCAGAGTTTCAGGTTTGCAGGATGAAAAGAGCTCTGGGATGGATGGTGGTGATGGCTGCACAAAAATGTGAACGTATTTAATGCCACCAAACTGTAAACTTAAAAATAGTTAACATGGTAAATTTTATGTATATTTTACTACAATTAAAAAAAAAACTGAGCTTTATCCAGAGGCCTGTGTAGGACTTCCAAACGGGAGAGGTAGTTCTTTGTTTTCAAATACCACAGAAGAGAAAGCAGACAGTGGCTTCAAATAAGAGGCCCCAGGTATGACACCACCCATATGACAATGGGTGGTACTTGAGGGGCAGCAGAGCCAGGCTCTCGATTGGCTTCTCACAGGGGACCTTCTGGGTCAGATGCCCCAGGGTGAGCGCAGTAGGGATTGGGTCCTTTTAATGATGGTTGGTAACTCTTCCTCAAGGCCCTTGGGGAGGAGGTAGGTGGCTGGGGTTATGAGCTCCATTGGGTATAGGTGGAGGGGATTCTTGCTATGGATTTAGGTCTAGTCATCATCCCCTGCTCCTGGGGCATTCAGACCACTCTAGAGAATCCCTGAAAGGGGTATATGGAAACTTGGGAAGTGTCACTGGGCCCCACTGGCTCTGGAAAGAATAGCTTAAGCCACAGGAGGGTGAACCTGAGCTAAATCAGAGGTACCTGTACCCAGAAAGCCAAGGTCAAGGTGAGCAGTGCCGGCTCAGGCGGGGGTCTGAGGTATGGCGGCCTTACGTGCCCCCTTCTCCCGGCAGTGTCAGCAGGCTGAGGACAGGAGCAGGGGCTTTGAAGACAAACGGTCCTGCAAAGGCTGAGGTATGAATGGACCACACGACTCCTGCCTAAGCTTCATACATTCCCAAAGTTCCCCTCCTCCTGTTTCCTGCCACGTCCACATACTATCTGCGCTATCATTAATGTTCTTAAGTCAACTTGCTATTTCTATTTAAATACATACATCTAAAAAAGGAAGTTGATATTATTACTAAAAATGGAAAGCCAGTACCCATTGCCGTAAGTCAAAAGTAACATTAAAAAAAAAAAGTATGTCATAAGTCAAAAATGAACACAACAGAAAAGAATGAACTACTTCTATATTCAAAACATGGATGAATCTCAAAAAATTACATTGAGCAAAAATAGCCAGACACAAAAGATTATATGCACCTATATGAAGTTTAGAATAGACAATAAATCCACTGTGTAAGAAGCCAGAGTAGTGCTGACGGCTGGGTCGGGCATACTGACTGGGGCCCTGGTAATGTGCTCTGCTGTGATCTGGTGGGAGCTCATTTGGGCATACACTATAAAACTGTCAGCTGTACACTTAAGATGTGTGTACTTTTCTGTATGTAAGTTATACTTTAGAAGAGTAAAAACATTAAAATATATCATATTTGCATGTAATGCAATAACAACAAAACCAGATTAAATTCACCTAGATACTGTACCCTGCTAAAGACTCGAAGGTTTGTTAAAAGGAGAAATGAACAAGTATTAGAGAGGTGTTAAAGACCCACCAGCCCCCAGAAGACCCACCAGCCCCCAAAGAGTCTTCCTCCTGGTGAGGTGGGGACCAAGTTTGTCTTCTTGACCATGGGATCCCCAGGCCCTGCCACAGCGCCCAGTAAAGAGCTGGTTCCCAACAAATAGATGCTGGGATGGAAGCCTGCAAGCTGATGGCTCGAATTTGAGCCTCAGGGCTGTGTCGACACCAGCTAGGTACCCCTCTCCTCCTATCTCCCCGGGCCCACGCCCACCCCAGTCCCAATCCCAGGGGAGCCATACCTCAAGGAAGTCATCCCCCTCGCTGGGCAAAACCTTGCCCTGCCGCCAGCGCTTGAGAAACCACCGGAGCTTCATGAAGAGCAGCAGGAAGTTGTGCTTGAACTGCTGGGACTCCTGCACCAGCATGTTCTTCTCCTGGCTCCAGAATTTCTGCTCCAGCCTGCGCTGGAGGCCCAGACTCTGCAGCTCAAACTCCCGCCTCAGGAGCGCCCTCTGCTGGTCCTCCTTCAGCTGTCGAAGGGGACAAGAGTGTAAGAAATTCCGGCGGTCTTCCAGGGCACTGCCCCTCCCCATCCCAGGTCTCAGACAAGAGCAGCAAGAAAAATTTGGGTGGCGCCTGTGAGTGATCCCTGCCAGGGATTCCACCAGTAGTAGCTCATTCTGTTGAGATTAACAGTGCCCTTTGCTACTCCAGGGGAAAGAAACTCATAAAAGCAGCAGCAATAACAGTTACAAATCAGTGGAAGAGCTGGCAGCTGAACCTGGCTCTGATTATTAAAAACCATGACATCATATAGCGAGCCGAAACTGGGTGCCAGTGTTTCACATGGACTCTCACATTCAAAGAGGAACTTAGGAGGGTGAGTGATAATGGCAGGGAGGGGTGATGCGGAGAGCAAAGGGCACACTGGGAGTAAGGAAGGCTGAGTCTATGCAGTACCCTAGGAAGCAGTGCAGAGTCATGGCTGAGAAAGAGCCAGAGACCTGGATTCAAATCACAACCCCCAACTCCCTCTGGACAGGCAACCCTGGGCAAAAGCCTTCAGCTTTCTAGGCATTAGTGTCCCCATCTGTAAAAAGGGGACACCTCATAGGAGAAGACATGAGGATTAAAGGCCATAATGTATGGGAAGAACATTGTACAAGCCTGACATACAGTAACAACTTAATAAATGCTTTCTATTAACAGAATCACCACACTGGATTGCCAGCCAGGCCTATGGCCTTTCTGCCATGGTTTTCAGCTCTGGTGGGGACAGTATTTCACAGATGAGGAACTGAAACCCAGCAAGGAGACAGGATTGGCCTGAGGTCACACAGGCAGTCAGTGGCAAGCCCAGGACTCCAGCCCAGCTAATGCACAATCACATATGCAGTATGGACCAGGAAGACTAAGGTTTCCCCTGACATTCTGGCCATCTGAAAAACTGAGAAACTCCACGGTTTCCACCTTCAGTTCAAGGACGAGAAGTTGGAGTAGCTGCAGGGCCGGGGAGGGCACTGGGAACCACCCACCTGGACCATTTTCTGGTTGAAGTTATCGGCCTCCTCCTTCCGTAGCTGCCGTTCCTGGGAGAGCTGCTCTTGCAGGCCCCGGAGGCTGTCGTGGGCCTCAGCCAGCACCAGCTGCAGCTCTTTGATCTGGGGTATGGATAAAGGACACAGATAATGAGGAGGGAGAGAGCAGGGGGAGGACAGAAGCTGTGGTCAGAGGATAGAGTGGTAGGGGGACATCAGCGCATGTGGGACCCAAGCCGCTCTTCAAGTACAAATAAAGCATAATGGTTGTCCTATCTCGGTGAGTTGTCATGACAACTGAACAAAACAATGCACATCAAATCTAGCTACTGTTACCATTTTAACTTGATAATTCCTCTCTTTGAAGTTTATTTGAAGAAAATAAATAGTGTGAAAACTAAGTTTGAGCCACAAAGATGTTCATTATCTCATTGTTTGTAATTGCAAAAATTTAGAAAAAACTTAAAGGGATTAATATATGTGTTTAATGGGTCTATACATATGAAAAAACTACTCAACTATACACTTAAAGGTAGTGTCCTTTACTGTATGTATATTATGTTATACTTCAATAAAAATTAAAGAAAAAAAAGATGTATACCTCCATAAAAAAAATGAAGGACATGGACACACACACACTAAATGTTAACAACTGTCAACCACATGATAATCTTGTGATCCTGACTTATTTCTTTATATCTTTATGCAATGCTGCTTAGGTATTTTGTTGTAGTTATTTGTTGCTTATAATCACCATGTAATAAGATCTTAAGAAAAAGACAATAAAACTCTACATTTGCAGGGGAAATTGTGTTTATAAATATTTGTAGCTAAACAGGCAAAATTAATCTATTCTGCTAGAAGCTGGTGACTAGATGGAGGCCAGAAGGAAGGCTCCTGGGGACAGGACATGCTCTGTTTATACCGAGATGCTTGCTGATTACATAGGAGGGTTCAATTTGTGAAAATTATTTGAGCAAATACAAGCAAATAAGAGTTACATTTCAATTTTTAAAAATTTAAATATTTCTAGTATCAGGGAAATTTTTATGCTGCTATGTTAACTAGGCAAGAAAAGGAAATGTCAGCTCTAACTCCTACATAAAACCTTCCCAGGCATAGCAAGATGTCCCTCTCTGACAAAAACAAAATTATTATCTGGCCAATAATGTGGAAATGTGGCAATGAAAGGCACTCTGATTTGAGGTATATCTTGTATGTCTGTTTTGCATTAAAAATCCTTGCAAGGCTAGGCACTACCTGCCATTTCTAATGTTCTCCTTGAACTCAGTGCCCGACAGAGTGCCTTGAAAATTATAACTTCCCCACAAAGAGTGGCTGAATGAAATTAATGAAGTAGTTGAATACATGCAGGAAATTATTTTCTCTGCAGGTGAGCTGGCCTGTCTCCTTTTCTCAGAAAATGAGAACTAAGTAGCTCATGATTCCCCCCTCCGCGGTTTTGTGCCATGGCTGCTAGGAAACTCAAGACCATTTAGAGAGTTTGATCTACCAACCTCACGGGGACTTCTCCCCTTACATAGTTGTGGATGGCCTTCCACAGCCACACAATCGCCTTCCTGGGGATGGGAAGAGCTCAGAGGAAAAAAGTGCTCAGTGTGGATCACACCCAAGGCTCTCCATGGTTCAGGAGCCACAGGGAGGCCCCACCTGCTCCATGGGAGGCTTTTCCTACTTCAGGCTCATTGTGAGGTACTGGGGAGGGGCTTGGGAGGCACTCAGAACCACCCCAAATCCCTCAAGGTCCAGGGGGTCCTATCAACTCTGCAGCCATCACCCACTCTAATCCCCCCACATTTCAGATGGGGAAGCTGCAGCCAGAGTGTGGGGACATGCCCAAGGCCACAGAGCCACACCGGTAAGTCCCCTGAGATCCAGCGATGTGTCCCCATTCTCCTCATCCTCACCTAACATGGACCAGGCCTTCAGCTAAGACTTTTCATGTATTTAATCTTTTCAACAATCCTATGAGGGATCATCTTTATTTTAAAGGTGAAAAAACTGAGGACAGAGAGATAAAGTGACTTATCTACAATCTCACAACCAGTATATAGTGAAGCCACAACTTGAACCCAATCAACCTGACTATAGAGGTTGCTGCCTTCCTGATAAAGAAATCAGCGGTTCTATTAAATGACATATTATTAAATTCCCAGTGAAATTTAGTACAGGAAAACAAAACCAATTTCTTCAGATGAATTTATAAGCTTCCTTTCATCAAGCCATGAGAATGGCCCAAATTTCCTTGTTTCCCTTTTAGCCTTTGCTGGCAGGAAGGTCAGAAACAAATGGAATACTCAAAATCCCTATCATTATCAGCTAAGATTCTCCATGGATCACTCTGCACATTGGGAGGCCCCAGCCACTCTCCTACCCTCCCCACTGCTTGCTTAGGCCTAGGCCCACCTCAGAGGCATAAGAATCATTGTCTTCCACTCGGTAAGGTCTGAAGCTCCGGCTGGGGTCAGGCTTGGAGTCCAGGTCACCAGTGCGATAGGCTTCTCTTATCCTGGGCTCCCATTCTGGCAGGTCCCTGTAATCAGGCGGCTGCACCCAGAGAGATAAAATATATCCATGAGGAGGGGCTCAGGAGGTGCCAGAAACAGCCTTACCCCAGGCCTCTGGACTCTATATGAGGCTCTGACCACCCACTTAAGGACTGGAGCCTAGGCAGATTCACCTGTGGTAGCAGACCCAGCCCTGGTGGGGGCCCTGCAGCTACTCCATGAACATCTGTGGAAAGCATGAATGAGCAGGTAAGTGGTGAGGGAAAACACTGCTTCTGTGAGTGTCTGTCTTGTGTACAAACCTCCTGAGCCGGTCTCAGCTGTCCTACACCTGTGCGGCCCAGTGCATTCCTACCTCTAGAACCAAGAGAAAGACCCAACAATGGGGCAGTCTGCTTGATGAGAAAAACAAGATCAAGTCAGGTCCACAAAGCACAGATTAGAGAAATTACAGCGTAACTCCAACAAGTAGTCGTCAAAGAGAAAGAGCTAAATGTCTGCAGACATGGGAAACCCTTACCCTTGTCCTCAGGATGAAGAGCAAGCCTGTCTGATGCTCCCTGCAATCCAGGCACACTTGGACACACCATGCCCCTTCCAGCATGACACCTTTGCATAGGCTGTTCCCTCTGCTTAGGACACCCTTCCCCTGGTAATCCATCCTTCCGATCTTGGCTCAGATCAGAGGCCTTCCCTGACACAGGATCTAGGTCAAACTTCCTGGTCCACAGAACCAAGTACCTTTTCTTGAAAGCCCTCATCTCAGTTTGTAATCAAATTCCTTGGCATGGTAGTTTGATTATCATCTCTCTTCCCCACTAAAGGATACAGGGTAGAAATCCTATCTGTGTTTGCTTACATGGTACCCAGCTCTGAGCATAAAACGTGTATGAACAATAAACAGAGCATCGTAAGTAAATGAACAAACAGAATCATAACACAAGAAAAATAAGCTGTGTGGTAACAGTAGGCATCACATCAAACAATCTGGGTGAAAAACATACAGAGAGTATCTGAAGAGGAAGATTCAGAAGAGCGTGCTATCATGGTGAAATATTCTAGATCTGTTCCATGACACACACACCACTCCTGAGCACATGAAATGTGGCTATTGAGACTGAAGGACTGAATTCAACTGTATGTAAATTTTATTAATTGAAATTTAAGTAGCCACATGGGGTTAAATGGCTACTGCACTAGAGGGTGATCTTCTAGGCTGTTAACAGTACTTCCCTAGAGAGAGGGTCTTTCATCCTTTTCGCCAGGTACTTCTGAAGCTCTTTGAATATGGATTACTTTGGCAATAATGCCTTTTTCTGGAACAAGTACATTTGCTATTTTAATTCTTCTAAGAAGTAGCTTATGGACCTCAATAGTGGAAGTTCATTACCTTTAGAGAGTCACGTTTCTTGCCTCTGCATAGAACCTGACTGGGGTTTTGGTTTAGTTTTTTAAAAACAACACTTGGTTCAAAATACAAAATTGCAAAAGAAACCAGCAAAGAAGGGTGACCTGGCAAAACGATAGGGCTTAGGAATCAACCCCTACCTCTATCAACAGTAAATGACCAGGTGGGTGAGTTGTATATTCACTCAGTTAATCATATCCAGTAATGAGAATGAACAAACCGTGGCTATGTGCAACCACAACCGGAACGGGAGATGAAAGAAGCCAGGCACAGGTGAGTGTGTACTTACGATCAGCAGTTTATAAAGAGCTTAAGGAAAGACAAAATTGAATCAAGAGAGGGGTCACCTTTGGGAGCAGGGAGAGTGGCCAGAAGGGGACATGAGGAGGGACCTCTGGGGTGCTGGTCACATTCTATTTCTTGTTCTGGGTGATCGCTTGAGTGTGCTCACCTTGGGAAAACTCATCCTGCTTTGTGTGCTTCTCTGTCTGTATGTTATGATTCAATAAAAAGTTCATATCAAAGAATAGCAATAGGGCCTGTGACTGGAACATCTTACCTGGAAGTCTGAGACAAGGTCTTTGGCCAGAAGAATCTCCTTGGAGGGCACCTGGGAGCCCAAGGTGGGCAGTGACGAGAAGGACTCAGGCTGCTCCTTGGCAGAGCTCCCAAGGACCGAGTCCGCCTTCCTCGTGAAGGCATTGAGTTCCTGCTGGAGCAGGCTCAGCCGTACCAGGATGGCATGGATGAGCTTGGTGTCCTTGGGACCCTCACTGTTGTCAGGGGCTTCATGCAGCCGAAAGTCAGCACACTCATTGTCCAAATACAGGCGGAGGCCAGCCGAAAAGCCATTGGCATCAGCCACCAGGATGTCGATGGCCTTGCTGACCAGGGCAGCCTGCTCCCTCAGCCCAGGCAGTGCTTCAGCCTCCCTGGCTCTGCAGAGCCGGGTGGCCTGGGGGCCATGTGCCTCGCCAAGAGCAGCAGGCACACACTGGGCAGAGTCCCCAGCCTCGGCATCCGTCTCCAGCATTGGCCGTGTGCTCTGGCAGGAGGCAAGATCACAGCGCTGGAGGTTGGACAGGAGCACGCGATTCTCGTACTGTAGCTTCTTGACCTTGCCGCTGAGCTCGCCGATCTGCAGTTTGGCAGCCGCCAGCTCCTCCTGTGAGGCCTCGCTGAGCACGGAGCAGCTGTCCTCCGACAGCGTCACGTCCAGCTCATGCTCCGAGCGGTACTTGGCCAGCTCAGTCAGCAGCAGCTTGTTCTGGTCCTCAAGCTCTGCCGAGGAGCGCCGCAACAGCTCCGCCTCCTCCTCCACGAACTGCAGGTGTCGCCGCAGCTCCACCAGGCTCTCCCCGCACTCACTGCCACCCAGCGCAGAGAAGGCCAGGCGGGCCTCCGGGCCCCCACAGCCGCCCCCGTGGTCTTTCATGTCATCCATCTCGGCCCGCAAACCTCGGTTTTCCACCTCCAACTCCACGATGCGGCGGCTCAACAGGTTGGCTTCCTCCTCCACCAGCTTCAGATGCACCTTCAGCTCAGTCTCACGAGAGTGGGGTGCATCGGCCAGCTCCTCAGCGGACAGGGCACTGTCCAGATCTCCGTAGAGCGAGCGGTACTTGAGCAGCTCCTCCTTCATGCTGTCGTTCTCTTTGGCTAACTTGGTGAGCTTCTTGCACATGAGGGCTGACTCCTCTTTTGCAAAGTGCAGCTGGCACTTCAGGTCCGCACTGTCCTCCTGTGGCCCGACGGGCACAAGGACAGACATCACCCAGGATGGTTAGTGTTTGAAGGCTCAACACCAGCCACAGCATTTCAGGGAGCACTAACTATGTGCTGGGGACACAGGAATGAATCAGACACAGTGCTGACCCTCATGGAACTGGGAGGTCCAGAAGGGAAACAGCAAGGGGGATGTTGACACTGTGGCAAAGATGGAGCACCACACATAACTGAGGGGTCCAGGAGGGCTTCCTGGAGTAGGCAACATTCTGCCAGGGTGACTGTTGCTGCTACAGTTTGCTCATCTGTGAAAGGGGACGACACTCCCTCCCTCACAGCCATGGAGAGGACTAATGAGATAATGTATGGAAAGTGCCTAGCACCCTGACAATCCAGGACCACCCAAGGCTAACTGTACTCTAAGCCGGACCTGGGCTGCATACAGCAATTCATCTGTCTGAACATGGGGGAACCATGGGCTCAGGGATTTGGGAAGGGAAACGGGCAGGCAGCAAAGCTGAGAAAATGAACAAGGGGAGGATGAGGGAGAAGCTGGGGAAGGGCAAGCACCTCTGGAGACTCAGACCTTCAGACAAAATCCTGCCTGTTGGGGGCCTGCAAAGGGGACCGTGGCGGCTTCGGGAAAGTACCTGCATGGAAGACTTCTTGTCTGTCTTCCCCAGGGAGCGAGTTCCTCTTTTCTTCAAGGAATGCTGGAGAGAGATTTAAGAAAACTGAGCTGAAAGCTCACGAAGGTGGTGGGCATCCACAGAGCAGTCACTGAGGGGCCCCTACCCAGCCTAGCCCCTTCCCACCCTGCCCAGCCAGGTCCAGACCTTAACCAGCACCAACTGCTGAGCCAGAGGGCCCTCAAGACCACCCAGTGGGCTGCAAATGAGCAACTGGCCAGAAGCACTGGAGGAGTTGATTCTGAACACACCTGCCCAGGCTTCCTCCCTTCTCCCACCCCCACATTGTGATCAAGTCTGCTGTGCCAAGACCCAGAAATCTGGGTTTCTGTTCTGGTTTGTCTTCCATTCAGTCACCAAAGATTTCCTGAGCACCAATTCTGTGCCTGGCACAGTCAGGCATAGAGAACAGAGCAGTGACCAAGACAGACAGACAGGGTCCTGGGGAAGATGCTGTTGTGCTCCACCCCATCTCTCCCTACCCCTCCTTCAGGACTGGGGCACTTGTTCCCCTAGCTAAGACCTCAAAGATGAGCCCCCTCCCAGAGATGGCCCCTGGCTGAGGGCAGCCATCTCATCGAAGGTCAGGTGCCCTCCCTGGGGTGACCGGTCCGTGTGCCCTTGCCTGAACTCAGGACAACTCTAAAGGGCCACCCCGGCTCTACAGCACCACGGGGTCAGCAGCGGCCATTGGTGGGACTGCTCCCACGCCTCAGCCTTACTCCCTTGGAGTGTTACACTCCAGGGGGCTCCTCCATAAGCCGCCACATGCAAAGCTCCATCCCAGCAGGAATCCTGTCCTCATGGCCCTGGCATCCAAGCGAGAAAACTTTAATTCAGAATGAATACTAAGAAACGAAATGAATTTGAAATCATAATTACACAGGAGGCTTAGAAATGATGAAGGACTGACCATTTTTTTACAATTTAAATTGGAAGTTTTCATGCAGATGAAAACAAAATAAGGCTATAATAATAACCATGATTCAAAAATCCAGAAGCTATACAAGAAATCAGTACACTTGATTAGATAAGCAAATTCTACATGGAAAAAATAATATCCTAAGAAATGGGAAAAGTATAAATGAGTAACTGGGAAAACGTATTTGCAATTTATTACACTGATAAAGGGTTAATGTCCACAATACCTAAAGAGCTTTGGAAAATAGAGAATAAAAAGGCCAACAAACCTACAGGAAAATGGGCAAGAGACAGGAAAAACTAGAAAAGAAAGGTAATGGTTCCTAACTTAGAAGACGCTCAACCTGATTCATGATAGAGAAACGCAAATTAAAACTATACTAAGATACCATTTCTCACCTATCATGACTGGCAAAAATCCAAACACCTGACAACACATCCTTTTGGTGAAGCTATGGAGCAGCAGGTATGCAAGAATGCAAATGGCACAAGCCCTACGGAGGGGATCTTGAGGAAATGTTAAAATAACATTCTCAAGTTTCTCAATGTTTAAAAAAGTTACTCAGTTAGATGAGTGGCTCCATTGCACACATCTTCCCATGAGAGGGGTGATTCATGTTACTGCTATATAGAACCACACTTAAGTAGCTTTTGAGTTTTCAAGTTGAGCAGATATTTTTTGAGAAAGCTCCCAGGTGGTTTGAAAACATGCCTTCCCCATCCCACCTCTCATACCCTATCCCTGAAGGTGAGAACCACTCATCTAATCCAACCCCCCCGCCCCCGACACACACACACTTTATTGAAGGCTACAGACACAGACAGAAAGGTCCCATAGCAAATCCAGAGCTGAGCTGGAACCATTTCTTGACACACCACTCGATCTAATCTCAAAGACTTAGAGAAAGAAAATGTGCCTTCTTTGATGAGGACCAGAGGGGAGCTAACATAGTGGCTCTGCACCTGGGTGGCACAACAGAATTACTTGCGGGGATTTAAAAAAAAATACTGATACCCAAGTTTCCACCCCAGAAATTCTGATATGATTTGTCCAAAGTAGGTCCCAGGCATCAAGTATTTTGAAACAGCTTCCCAGGTGATTCTAACACTCAAGCCAGGCTGGGAACACAGAGGCAGGGAAATGAACTCCAGATGGGCTCTTAAGTATATCTTAGCACCCAATCAAATCCTCAAGAGACCTTGTGAAATGCAAAGGAGGCAGGAAGGCAGAGGCTGAATTTCAGATGCTTGGGTGATAGGAGCAGGGAGCCAGTACCTGCGATGGGCTAACCTGGGATCTTTCAAAAGCAGGGAAGGAAGAGTAGGAAATGGGATGAGGGCCACAAACCAAGTCCCTCCACAAAGGATTCCCTCCCACAAATGGGGACTAGAAGGGGGGTGCTCAGAGGGAGAGCCCCACGTGCAGTGGTGAGGGTGGGGCTCTGGGGTCAGGCTTGCAGATCTGGGCCTGCTTATCACAACTGAGGAGGAGAGGGACTGAGAGCTGAACTCTGGGAACCCCACAACACTAAGGTTATAATCCTGGGTGGACCCCTTCCTCTCCTGGAAACTCCATCTTACCATTTATAAACCTGAGCCATGGATTAAGGACCACAGCCTCTTTAAGCACTGCAGACTCTCTGGAGGAAGGAAGTGGGGTGACGGGAAGGGGAGCCAGGGATCTCCAAAGGCACTGAGAGGTCCCAGCTGTCACATATAAGAGAATGAGATAAATAGAAAGCCTAAAGCCCCTAAAAAGGACAGACAGTGTGATTCACTGACACGGTAAAACCTCTGACATCTTACAGAAGGAACCTGTAAAAAAACCCCTACAACCCAAATGTTCACCAACTGATGGAAGATAAGCAAAACATGGCATGTGCACACAAGGGAATATTAACAGTGTTCAGCCACAGAAAAGAATGAAGACCTGATACATGCTACAACACGCATGTGCCTTGAAAACATCATGCTAAGCGAAAAAAGCCAATCACAAACAGTCACGCAGTGTATGATTCCATTTACATGAAATATCCAGAATAGGCAAATCCACAAAGGCAGAAAGTACACTATGAGTGCCAGGGATTGAAGGAGTGGGGAATTGGGGGTGACTGTTGATGAGCTTGGATTTCCTTTTGGGGTGATAAGAATGTTCTGGAATGAGAGAGTGGTGATGGTTGTACAACTAGGAATATTCTAAAAACCACTAAACTGTATACTTTAAAAAGAAACTTTATAGTATGTGAATTGTTATCTCAATAAAGCTGTTACTAGAAACAACCCAGAACATGTTACCATTTTTATAAAAATAAGATGTGCGTGTATACCGTTTAGTATATGCATGGTGGGGGTCAGTCAAATTCTTAGCAAAGAGAATGCAGGGAACTTGCACTTTGCATTTTTCTTCACCCACACTTTTTTTGTTGTTGTTGGGGGAGAAGACATAGTCCTCCAGTGTTTTTTCTTTAAAAATATTTTTTAATTACACATTATTTTAAAAAATAATATACAAAAATACATTCTCACTGTGATGCTGTACACTGGTGACCAAGCAGAAGACCCCTGTTTATACCCCCACCCATTTTCCTCCCCAACCTGAGGGTGACCACAGCTGATGGTCAGCTTGAGTTCCTCCTAGGCTTTGCTCTGTGTTTAAAATATGGAAATAGACGGTGTTCTTTTAGACTTTCTTTCCTTCCCATGTTTACTTGACTCGGTGATCTTTGATTTTTATAATAAGCACCTTAGGCAGAAGAAAACCCACAACATTCAGCATTTGAAATCACAGTCTATGTTCATGTTACATTATTCTATGCATTACAGAAACTATACAACATAATCCCATCTTTATTTTTAAAAAACTACATAGGGAAATATACATTGTATGAACATACAGGCCTGTAAAGTTACAAACCAAACTGCTAATCATGGGTGACACTGAGCCAGGAGCAGAACTGAGGGAAGTAGTTAGGGGAGGATTTCTTCTTTTATTTTGGGTATGGGTCCTATTATTTCTGTTATATTTTGGATAACACACTCACATGTCTACTTCAAAAAGCGCAAAAAGGAATACAGTGAACCCAGTCACAAGTTCTGCCCGGGGCAACCCATGCAACCAGTCGGCAGTATCCATCCTTAGAGGTATGCTAGGCATGCATTTATGTGCATTGGTAATGACATTATTGCTCCATTGAGCTTGTATTACTTTTTTAGTAAAAAAAAAAAAGCATATATACATATACATTTCAGTATGTGGGTGCATATAAATAGAAAACCCTGTAGGAAGTAGATGCACCTCCCACCCAAATAGCAATCTGGCAATGTCTCAGAATAATTCCCTCTGTGTATTAGATTACAAGGGCATGTTTTTCTCCTAAGGGTTTACTTGTATTTTCTTGTCTTTCTCTACTAAGCATATATTAACAGTTGCTTGGAGGGGAAAAGTCACAGACATTTTAAAATCTCCCCAAGAAAAGTCATGAAGCACCTTTCCAACAGGCTGAATGTAGTAAGTTCTGAGGGGCATGAGCCTCACCGGAAAGGGAGAGCAGTGGGCAAAGAGGGCCCAAAGCAGCAAACCTTCCCAGGACCAGAGTGGTTCCAGCCTTTTCTAGTTGGAGTTGACCCTTCCTCCACCTCTTGGGCTCCCACACTGCTCTGCAGCTCTGGAGGGAAAACAAGGCAGGCTCACAGAGCACAAAGATCTTCCTCTCCCTGCAGGGCAGCAGCTGGCCAGGCAGCCTGGGGGTCTGCGGTGCCCCTCAAGGGGGCCAGGGCCTGTCAGAGCCCCTTTGTGGAGCCCCCAGGGGCAGATGCTCTGGCCCTGGGCCTCGGGAGGGTGGGATGGAACAGGGCAGGACGGTACCCAGGCACCAACAGGAATGCCAGCAGCAAGCGCAGGACCCCAAGCGCACACTCTGACTTGTCATGCAGCAGGAGCTTCCCCACCCACAGCAGTCACAGGCCACTTTGAGCAGCCAAAGGCACCTCTAAGAATCCCTGGTCTAGCGGTCCTAGTAACAAGATGAGGTGTGTCCTCCCTGTCCTCCTGGAGACTAGTAGATTGCATTCCAGCACAGAGGCTGCCTGGGTACAGCTCTGGAGGGGTCCTGCCCTCTAACACCTTCCATGCTTCCATGAAACGAAGATCAACCTTCAAGAAATAAAATGAATGTTCTGCCAAAACAGCTGGGCAGATTTCTGCCAAATTTGGAGGAGATGTTTGGAAAGGTCTCACTGAAAACACAGACTGCTGTGTGTACAAAATTTACTCTAGAGGGGTCCTGGGGTGGGGGTGCATCTCCCAGACCAAGGTATTCTTCCTCCAGGGCAGCGGAAGCAGCTACACAGAGAAGCTGTGTGGCTCCTGGCCGGGGGGCAGGGGCGACCCTTTGGGGGCAGGAAACAAAGAGTGGTTCACACAGGAGCTCCAAATCACAAGTCACTGGAATTGTGAGGGTTGATATGCAATGTAACTGCTCCTCCCAGGGGCTGCTAGCAGCTCCCCTGGAAGAGTGCCTTACTGGAGGCAGCAGAACCGCTTGTTAAATGATGGTAAACGCTTCTCTGGACTCACAGCCCTTGTGAGGGTTGTAAGGGTAGCGATAAAGATAATCAGTATTTACCCCACCCTTATTCTCTGCTCAGCACTTTACCTGCCTGTCTCAACTGATTCTCAAAAACACCTCTAAAAAGTAGGGATTAATATGTCCATTCTGTAAATGAACAAACTGAGCCTGGAACAGTAACATGATTTGTCCAGTGTTACAGCTATCTGCAAGTAAGTGGCAAAGGCAGGATTCAAACTCAGGCCTGTGTGACTCCAAGTTCAAGTCTGCCCTGTACCACACAGACCAGGACGAGGACACCGGCAGCAATGACTTGAACCCAGCTGATGACATGTCAGTGCCCTTCCTGCCCCATCGGTGAGAATCAGGACAAGAAGCCTGTAGTACTCATTGGAATGAGAAGCTGATTTGGGGTCTGAAAACATAGCAGGGTCCTAGGAAGGCCCCTGGATTGGGAAAGGAGGGCAGGGGCATCACCAGAAGTCAGTGTGGCTTTTGGAGAGAGAGTCCTAGGTGAGAATCCCACCTTTGTCCTTCCCCACTCCCATCTATATACAGCAAATCAATCAATACAGCAGGTATATATATATACCCAAGGAGAACTAAAAACACATTTACATAAAAACCTGTACACGAATGTTCACAGCAGCATTATTAACGACAGCCACAAAATGGAAACAACTCAAATACCCATCAGTGATGAACGGACAAACAAAATGTGTTTTGTCCATACAATGGATTATTATTTGGCCATAAAAAGTAATGAATTACTGATATATGCTTCAACATATATATGCCTTGGAAACATTATACTAAGTGAAAGAAGTCACAAAAGATCATATGATTCCATGGATTAGAAATTTCCAGAATAGGCAAATCTATAGAGACAGAAAGTAGGTTAGTGGTTGCCAGGGGCTAAAGGGAAGTGCGAATGGGGAGTGACTGCTAACAGGTACAGGGTTTCAATGAAGATGTCCTGGAAACAGACAATGGTGATAGTTGTGACACCATCACAACATCATGAATTTATTAAAAACCAATGAACTGTATGCTTAAAAATGGTGCCTTTTATGGTATATGGGTTATATTGCAATTAAAAAATTGCCAAGTAGACTATAATAGAAATAATAAAACAGGACAACACACATTGAGAGGTTATCGGCTGCATAACATGAGGAAGTACATAAAATGCCCAGTGTGGTGCCTGGTACAGAGCAAGCTCTCAGACACAGCAGCTATGTTATAACAAATCACGTCAACACTGATGCTGGCTTTCTGCCTAAACTACAAGAACGGGGAGTGATCCTGCTAGTGTTACGATCCTTGGGCTGCAGCCTAGCCGGGCACCAGGAGCATGGCTAGGGCTGGCCACTCTCCCTTCTCTCTAGCAAAGGGGGATTTCCATGGCAACCACAGCAGCTCAGGCCAGGGGCTCCTGTTCTCAGCCTGGTGACAGCATCGCCACAGCAACAACCTGTCAGGATGGCAAAGGCAGATCTCCACGATGGGACTCAGCAGCTCTAGGGAGGTTCATCTCCATAGAAACCACGTCAGGAAACGGAGGGAGGAGGGAGAGAGCAAACAGCAAATAAACACAGGGCCACAGGCCCAGATCCTGAGACACCAGGGGCACGTCAGGGGGAGCTAAACTAGCCTCACTGACATGACCTTCCAAGGGGAAGCGGATTAGTATTTCTCGAGCACTTACTATGTGCAGCTCTATGTACAAAGAGCTGTTTACAGGCTTGGCTGCCTTTACAATTTCACAAGTGCAAAAAAGAAAAACATCTAACTACAGCATTAAAAGAATACAAAGCAAAAGTCATTCTCATCCTATTCTCACCATTTCTAACCCCTCAGTTCAGGGAATTTTCCTCTAGACTTTTGCTATGCATTTGCACATATGCACACATGCTTCAAAACCAGTTTGCTTTGTATGGCTTTTCAAAATAATTACTGGGATTGCACAATATGTATAGTTCTGTAACTTTCTTTCCCTGCTTAACCATGTACCTTGGAGATCTTTCTATGACAGTACACATATGTCTACCTTATTCTTTTCTTAACTGTGGTAAAGTATACATAACTTTGTATATTTGGATTTACCACTTTTAGCCACTTTCCAGGGTACAAGTCAGTGTCATTAAGTACAGTCACATCATTATGCAGCCATCATCACCATCCATCTGCAGAACTTCGTCATCATCCCAAACTGAAACTCTCTACCTATTAAACACTAACTTCTCCCTTTCCCCTCCCCCTGGCCCCTTGCAACCTCTATTCTGCTTTCTGTTTCTCTGAATTTGACTACTCTATCTCCTGTAAGTAGAATCACTAATATTTGTTCTCTCATGTCTGGCTTATTGCACTTAGCACCACATCTTCAAGGTTAATCTATGTTGTGGCCTATGTTGGTATTTCATTCCTTCTTATGGCTGATCAACAGTCCACTGTATGTACAGACTACATTTCTGTTTGTCCATCAGTGGACATTTATGTTGTTTCTACCTTTTGGCTATTGTGAACAATGCTGCTACAAATACAGGGGTAAAAACATCTTTTTGTGTCCCTGCTCTCAATTTTTTTTGGTATATACGGAGAGTGGAATTGCTGGCTCATGGTAATTCTGTTTCATTTTTTCAGGAACTGCCACACTACTGTATTTTTTTCAACTTCTTCATAGTGTTCTATGCTTACCCAATCTTATTAACGATCATAAAAATCCTCATAAGCTGGGTACTGTTATTATCCTGATGTCACAGATGAAAAACCCGAGACTTAGAAGGGGAAGCAGCTTCACGTCTCAGTCACATCTCCACCACATCTCCGCCAAGGAAAAGCCTGGTGAGCTCAGGCAGGCCATCCCTCTGTGCACCTGTTTCCTCTCCTTTGCAATAGAACAGGCTGACTGACCTCCAAGGTGCTTTCTGAATTTAGCTCCCCTTTTCACTATCAAGTGTGGCAGCAACAAGATATGTGAAGGGGGCACAGGTTATGGGGGCAGGAGGCTACTTGAGGGGAAGGGGTCCTTCTCACCCAACCCTGGTGTGGGGCAGGCCTCCACAGAAGCCCTCAGCCACAAACACCCACTGTCTCCACATTGAGAAGCTTCTTGCACATCAAACAGACAATCCACAGAGCAATGTCTTGTCTCAGTCCTGGAATGCTGGCATGCCTGCCCTCAGGGAAGGTGGGGAGTGCCCCAGAGCAATGTACATCCTAGGATACCTCTCATGCAGGCAAAGAGCAGAGGCCCAGCTGTGCCTCTTCAGCTGGAAGCCACCTCAGGCCACCTGGAACACGGACCCCTGAGTTCTGAAGGATTCTAGCCCTTAGGAGTCACCTAGGCTGATGGCTTCTAATCATCATTCTGCAGAGCCGTTTGGCCCTGTGTGACACTGAGGACATCCCTCCCTCTCTCAGAGACTGTTTTCTCATCCATAAAATGGGTATAATTATAACCTCATTGGCCCTTTATGAAAACTGTTGGGATAAAAGTGTCTAGGATGGTGTTTAACATGCTGTACACCTACAATACAGCAGAAGGAAGGACATGCCAGGTGGTGGGACATGCAGAGGCTAATGTCTGGGGCCCCACTCAGAAAGTGTCTACTGTCCTGAAATCTGTGTTGATACACCAGCTGAAGGCCCTGCCCTGGCACTGACTTTACACCAAAGGGCAGTCCCTAAAGCATGTCCCCACAAGTCAGCCCAGCTGGCTCTCACAAAGACTCAGAGCAGTGGTGTCCATTTTGTAGATAAGGAAACTGAGGCACAGAGGGCCAGGCCCCGTGCTGGCAGTGCTGAATGTTTTCTTAGCTAATCCTCCCATAGCTGTGGTTCTCTGATGGTGACTGTGTCCTTCATTAGCCTGTGGCTCCTTGAGGACAGGAACTGGATATCTTCCATTTACTTTACCACTCTGTCCTTAGTGTCCAGCACACAGTGTACATAGTAGGTGCTTAGGAAATGTGTGCTGGAGGAAGGAATGAATGAAGAGCTCTACCAGTTATGAACAAATAATTGTGCAGAGACAGAGTTCAGAGACACTGGCTGCGTGGGGCCAGCACATGCCCACCTGCCCCGGGTCTGGCCCTGCCTGGATGGGACCCTCACCTCTCTTGGACGCTCCAGCTCCGTCTGTAGCACCTGCTTAGCCAGCTCAGTCTCGATGAGCCGCTGCCGAAGCTCCTCATTCTCCTCCTCCAGCCGCACCCGTTTCTTCTCTACCACCTCGAGTTCCTTATGCAGCCGCACAGAGATGTCCTTAGAGACCTGGGCAGGAGGGGGTGATGAGCAGGGTGTGAACAGGGTCAGGGACCATTGCACTTCACGATAGAGCAAACCCCCAAGCATGCAGGTTCTCTTACCATCCCAACTTAGTAGATGAGGAGATCGACGTGCAGAGAGGTCAAGTAACTCACCAAGGATCACACAGCCAGGAAGCAGTAGAACTAAAACCCAAACTCAGGCACCCTGTGTCCACAGTGTGTATATCACAGTCCAGCCCCTGGAAAGCTATATGAGCCCTGCCTGTTCCTAGGACCTCCTCTTCACTTACTTGGGCATTTAATGCTTCCAGGGTCTCTCATCCACCCGCTTGCCCAGCTCTCATGAGAGCCTGTGGCAGAGCCAGAAGGTCATCTTAAAGGGAGGAAAGTGAGCCAGAGTAGAAATCCAGAGCAACATGGGAGGTTGCAGAGCCATTCAAACCCCATCTCTGCCAGTAAGCAGCATGTGATGCTGGGAAAATCATTTCCCCACTCTATGCCTCAGTCTCCTTAACTATCAAATGGGTGCAATTATAACAGTACCACCTCATGGGCCCAACAGGAAGACTGAATCAGCTATTGCACAAACAGGCTTGGCCCTGTGCCTGCACAGTGAACGCTGGGTGAGTGGTGGCTGCTGCTATGAGAAGATGAAACCTGGAGAGGGACATGACTTGCTGGAGTCACAGTGTGACCCCAAGGCCTGTTTCCAATTGTCTGAGATATAGAACATGCCCCAGATGACAAAGGCTGGGCAGGTGTCCAAGTCATCCTTACATAAAGGAGCTAACAGAGTGGCTAACTCCAACCCTGGCTCCAGGCCTCTGCAGCAACAGCTCCCCATTTCCTCAAGAACACCCTTGGTCTTGTCCCCTGCTGGCTGGGGGTGAGGCCAGAAAAGGGGGTCTGGGGATGAGGAAGGCCTTTCAGAGCTGCTAACTCACAACCAGACTCCATCCCCGAGTGGGCTGGGCACTACCATTTGTTGAATATCTACTGTGTGTCAGATTCATTCATCTTCACCCCAATTCTGTCCCCATTTTACTGGCAAGGAAACCGAGGCTCAGAGCATAAGTGACTTCCTCAGGGTCATGCAAAGCAAATGTGGGCTGGGCTGGGGGAGCCCTAGGGATGTGAATGAGGGGCTTCATGTCTAAGGGCTTTATCAGCAAGAAGTATGTGTGCGGCAGACAGCCCAGCAAGCACCCCGTGCTTGCCAGTCTCGGAAATAACCATGGCACCTCCTCCCTCCCAGAAGGGAAGAGGCCCTCCCTGGCTCTGCCCTCTGCCTGGGCCCAGGCCCAGCTCAGCCCGGACCCCTTGGCAGTGCGAGAGGCAGGCCAGGAAAAACAAGGGCCAGAAAGGAAATTCAGCACTGCCTCCCCACCCTCGGTTGCCTACTGCCTCTCTCTACCCCTGAAGATCCCTCTGTCCAGCCAGACGCTGGCCCCCGAGGATGGCCCAAGGTCTCTCCAGGTCACTAAACTTTCCTCATCCACAAAGGGAGGGGAGCAGTCCCCCATATCAGAATGAGGACTTTGCAGGTGGGAAAACTAGATGCAAGCCTGATTCCAGTGCTCATTCACTGGGTGTGTGGCCAGGACAAGTTATTTAACTATTCCAGTCTCGGTCTGGCCATCAGTTAAAGGGGTTGGCACAGCCTCCTCACGAGGGCTGCTATGAGGAATGAACAATACAGGGTTTGGGCCCATGGCTGGAACACAAAAACATGTGATTTTTAATGTATTGTCCAGATTACTGCTTCACCACTGTGTGCTGATTTTATCCGACTTGGCCCAACACCCCACATCCTCACTATTGAGTTTGGTGGCAGGGTTTCTGCAGTAGGTGTTCAGCTCCACCCCAAACTGGCTATGGTTCCCAGTTTGGGGCTATTAGCGAGCCCTGCCTGATCAACACTCCATTCATTCCTTCTCATTTATTCATTCATTCTTCCTGGTTGGCGCTGGAGGCAGAAGTGGTGGGGCACAGAGATCAAAGCCCCAGAACATGCCTGGGCTCCTCCGTATCTCTGTCCCAGCAGCAGTATATGGTCTGGCACACACTAAGTGCCTAATAAGTGCTTACAGACGAACAAACAAATCCAAGGCTCTAATAAGTGAAAGGGGAGGGAGATGAAGGAGTAAACGGCTGCAACATGAGGAGCTGCACCTGCCCTGGCTTGGCTAGGAATGTTCTCCACAACCACCCACCCCACCACGTACAGGGAGGGCATGGCCCTGCTGGGGTGAGAGACCAGGTGCTGGGGGGCCAGGGCTCCTCTCCATCTAGGGGGTCGTTCTGTCCCCTCCCTGGTCTCGACCTGGAGAGGCAACCTGTTCCCCACCAAGAAGTCATGATCCCTATGGATTCTTGGATTACCCATGGTTTATGAATGACTCTTTGGATTTCATCCCCTGCGGGAGCCCACACTCACCTTGTGGCCCATTCTCTACAGGCTCTCCTTCCCCATTTGCTCTCCACCCCAAAGGGCTGCTATGTCAAGAAAACCCAACCACAGGCATCTTACAGGATTCCAGCACAGACAAAAGAGCCCTTAATCTCAGATTCTACAGAGCCCTGTGCCGTGATGGAGGCCCATGGGAGACAAGAGCATGCCAGCCTGGAGGGCAGGAGCCTTGTGGCCTGGGCCTGTCCCTTTTCCCCTCTCTGAGCCTCAGTGGTCCGGGGCCCCCGTGCCTCTCTCAGGTGATTCACAGAATCTGCTGTGACTTCCCAAGTAGGTGTCACAGGAGTGCTTCATCCCTTTGGAAGGGGCTTTCTTCTCCCTATTTTGGGGCTCAGAAAGGAAAGTTCACTTGCCAAAGGTCACACAGCAAGGAAACGACAGAACCAAGATTTGAAATTAGGGGTATCAGCTCTAGAGTCTCACTCTCAACCTGACCCTACTGTTGGCCTGTATTTATATCAGCAAAAAAGTATTAATAATAAGTCTAACAGAGGGTTCACCGTGTCAGGTGCTCACAGGGCCACACGTGCCTGTCTCATTTCATCCTCTCATGATCCTCCCAACTAGTGCCAAGGTAGCGGGGCTAAGACATGCGAAGCAGCTGCAGCTTCCGGAAACCAGGGCAAATCCCCAAAGCGCAAACAATGCACTCAGCCATGAGGTCACTGTTTACAGCGCTGAGGCCTGGATCCTGCCAAATGCAAGCAGCAGCCCCCACACCACAGCTCCCCTGCTCATCAGGCCCCTTGGCTCATGGGCCTCCAGCTTCAGGGTGTCCCTGTCACTCTGAATCCTCATAGAGAGGGGGATGGGAATGCTCACTAAGGAGTACCCCCTGGCCAGGCAGTTCTATGTGGCTGAATTTTCCCAGGAACCCTGGGAAGGTCACGCCTATTTTATAGATTGGAAAACTGAGGCTTAAATCGGGGAGGCAACCTGCCCAGGTCACCCAGGAATAAAACCCAAAGCAACAACCATTTCTAAGAAAAGAAACACTTTATTGTATGTCCTTTGGCCTCCCAAAGGAGTCCCGGCAGGTGGAAATTTACATCCCAGTTTCCCAGGATCTGACACTCTCCCATGGGATCCCAAGCTTCAAGGGCGGGTCCTGGGAATCTGCATTGTGAACAAGCCCGCCAAGTGACTCTTATCCACCCAGAGAGGCTGAGACTCTGGCATCTCCTTCCAGGCCCTTGCCCCAGACACTTGTCTTATTCACGCCTTTTAAGTTCTCCTGAACAACAGTAACGCCCAACCAACATTTGTTCACTTGCTGAGTGACAGCGCCCCATGCCGGACTTTGTGTTCAGCACTCCTTACTTGAGTATTTCTAGCCTCACAAAAATCTCACTAGGTAGGGACTAGTCTTACCTCCATTTTCCACATTGGGAAACTGAGGCTCAGAGATGTGAAGGCGCTTTCCAAAGTCCACAACACAGCAAGCAAGTGGCAGAGCAGGTCTCTGCCCCCAACCCGACCCGGCCCTCCTCATGCTGGGTGACATTCCCACTGAAGTTCTGTGGGTCCTGCAGGCCATGAGGACCTGCAGACAGTGAGTGAGTCCAGGGGAAGGGGCACCAAGGTCTGAGGTTTCATTCATGGAGTACCCACCAACCAGACCTGCTCAGTAAAATCACTGGTGCTGCAAAAGCCCTGAAGATTTGGCTGCTGGAAGCCCCACATTTAACAGAAGGGAAAACTGAGGCTCCAGCAGGTGGCCCCATGACAGCTGGGGCATGGGCCAAGAAGCTGCAGAACAAGTCGGAGTTCCCAGGGAGGCCCTTGTAGGCAGCTCCCGGCCCCTCCCCCCGGGGTCCATCAGGCCCTCCCAGGCCATGCCGGGGAAGTCAGCATTCTGAGGACCTCCGAAAATGCCCCAGAACACGCCCAGCCCGTGGGATGCAGTGTGGGGGCCAGAGGCTTCCAGCCCAGACCGGTAGGGGTGAGCTCAGTGCTCCAGCTGCAGCGGCGGGGGAGGGGGCGAAGGGAGGGCGGGTAAGGGGCAAGGTTGATGCTGATTGGCTAGTTCAAACCCAGCAGAAAGGGTGGCTCCCCTGCGCCCAGAGTGCAGAGAGCCCCCCTACACACACACACCAGCTGCTCCCAGCTCCTCCCACGGAGGCTGTAGCAACCCAGCCAGCCTGCTCCCAGCCCCAGTCATCCTCCACCCTGCCTCACTCTGTAAGGCTGACTTCTGTGTCCCGGGCAAAATCCCCAACGACTGGGCCCCAACTCGGATGCGTCTGAGCTTCCCAGGCTCAGGTAAAGGGGCACTTGCACTTTGGAAACATAACCTTTGTGAGCTGAGTTTTCTCAGCTGTACAGTAGACCTATAATCCCACTGTGCAGGTGCCAGGCAACTGGAGAGGGAGAGGCAAAAGCCCATGTGGGGCTGGAGCTGACTGTTAACCTCCCCTGGGCCTGGGGGAAGGGAGAGCTCTTCCTCACGGACCTCCTTCCCCTCCCCGCCATGGCTCACGGCCACTTCTCCCTCAGGCCTCAGCTCAGAAGTCACGCTGCAGGAAGGCGCCCCAGGACCCTCAGGCTGCTCCAGATGTGCCCACCCCCAGCTCGCCTCCCCCTGACCACACTGGGCTGAGTTCTGAGAGCAGGGGCTGGGCCTGGGTCCCCAGAGTTCTCAGCCCTCAGCCCAGGGCTCACACACACAGGCGGGGTGGGCTTCGCCTCTGGAAGCCCCACATGCCAGCCTCCGGCACATCCCTCTGCTGCCTCCTAAGGCAGATAGCGTGGAGGTCGGGCAGCGACGCAGGGGAGGCTGAAGGCCCGTGCCCTGCAGCTACACACTGAGTGCCATGGGACCTTGCACAGGCACTGCCTTTCCCTGAGCCTCACCTCTCTCACCTGGAAAATGAGAATAATAATAAGAGCTTACGTTTTTGAGTGCTCACAGTGACCATTTACTTGTATTATTTCAGCTAACCCTCACATAAGCCTGTGAGGCAGGGGCTGCTATTATACCCATTTAATAGATGAGGAAACTGAAACTTAGGTGACTTGCTGAAAATCACAAAATTAGGGCACATTGAAGCCAAGATTTAAACCAGAGCTATTCAACTCCAGCCTTCACTACTCTCCATTAACACAATAAAAAAGCCTCCACAGAACTGTGCGGGGACAGCTATGAGTCCAGCACCAGTGTGGCTGGTACTCAAATAGTAGCTGCTTTTAGTAGGATTCATATTACAGTATCACTCTGGGGCATCCCTGGTAGGTGGCTTGTCGATTCACCGGGGAACCCCATTTTACAAATGAGGAAGCTGAGGCCCAGAGAGGTTGTGTAACTTTCCCAAGGACACAATGAGTGCACTGTGGGGTGACCTGGGCAATACATATGGGCTGGTGGTCCCACTCCCCAACAAAGGTACCAAGGAGGGTTAGAGGGCGGTGTTGGGCTTACCTTGACGTCCTGCTCTAGGCCTCGGATGAGCTCACCATCCACCTGGCCGGTCTGGGCAGCACGGAGGCTGCGGCGCTCGGCCTTACGCAGCCGGTACTGCAGGATGCGGCAGGTTTTGCTGGCCTGGTCCAGCTGCTGCCGCAGCTCCTGCAGCTGGTACACGTCCTCCTCCATGTAGACATCCCGCATCTCCAGCATCTCTGCCCGCAGCTCCTCAATCTCATCCTGCAGGGGGAAGAGGTGGTCAGGTCACTGGGCCCTGTGGCAGTGGCCCACACCCTACACTGTCCTGCACACCTCAGGGGGCCTGGGTATGGCAGGCTGAATAATGTTTTCCCAAAGAATCATGTCCTCTTTCTCAGAATCTGTGAATATGTTACCTTATGGGGTAAAGGGGACTTGGCAATGTGATTAAGGATCTAGGGACCAGGAGATTTTCTTGGAATATCTGGGTGGCCCAATGTAATTGCAAGGGTCCTTATAAGAGGGAAGAAAGGGGATCAGAGTAAGAAGACGACGGACAACAGATGGATAGGTTGCAGTGATGCACTCTGAAAATCAAGAAAGGCCCACAAACCAAGGAACGTAAGCGGCCTTTAGAAGCTGGAAAAAGGAATGGATTATTCCTCACAGCCTTCACAAGAAAGGTAGCCCTGCCAACACTTTAATGTTCAGACTTCTGACCTCCAGAATTATAAAATGTTAATCTGGGATTGTTTTAAGCCACTAAAATTGTGGTAAATTGTTACAGGAGCAATAGGAAACTAATACACTGAGGAAGTAGGAGAGGCTTATTCAACATTGATGAATGTCAGGCCCTGTGTAAGACCAAGGGTGTGGGGAGGGACAGAGGTGACCGAGACTAACATGTATCTTCCACATGTAGCCCCCAGTCTCCCTGGGGAAACACACAGTAAACCAACCAGGAGAAACATTCAAATACTGTTAAGAGCTCTGGAGACAAAAACAAAAACAAACCCACCTGTGTAATATGATAGAGTTAAAAGGGGAAAGTGCTATGGTAGAGGCCATGGTGAGGAAGGCCCTCTCCACAGAAGGGACATTTGAGCTGAGGCAAGAAGGAAGAGCCATGCAAACAGACAGCCATAGGAGATTAGCCCAGGCAGAGGAAACGGTGTGTGTAAAGGCCCAGGGACAGGAAAGAGCTTAGTGTGTCAAGACACAACAAGGCAGGCAGGGTAGCTCCAAGGGTAAGCTGAGGCTGGGGAAGCAGGGGTCAGCCATCCAGGGTCCTGCAGGGCTGAGGAAAGAGTCTGGGTTTGGGTTTTAAGAGGAGAGGGTTGAGGGGTGACCTCACTCCCTCAGGGCAACCCCTGGCCATCTCTGTCACCAGCTCCCCTCACTTCCCCTTTGTCCTCATGAGCACATCTACAATTCCTTATTTAATAGCTCGTCTGCCACAATGCACCACCCCAGGACTCTCTTGTCCCTTCCTGGCTTGAGCCAGGAGCTCTGTCCTCTCGCTTTCTCTCTAAATAAAAGCCTCTGCCTTGCTCTCCTAAAAAAAAAAGTCTGCCAGAGATACTTTGTGTGGAGGGCCATGCCACGTCTACCTCACAACCCCATACCCAGCACAGTTGCTACATCCCATAGACTCCCAACATTAACTGAATGAGTAAATGTATGTCTGGTTAGGTAAACAACCACAAAAATGTATAAGGGGATGAATGGAGAGAACCAACAGGAAAAATGGGTCATTATTATGTCTACTAACAAGTGTGAACACTGAGTCACACATGGCAGTAATAATATCTACTCTTAGTGTGACTAAATGGATGAAAGAAAATTATACAGTAAAAAGAGATACTGAGTCACAGGGGAGGAATGACCTACCAAAGGCACCCCTAAGATGCCAGAGACAGCACCCAAGGACTGTGCTGATGCAACAGCGGGGGTTGGTCTAAGCAGTGAAAACCAACTCTGCAGGCCCTGGAGAGCAGGCTACAATCCAGAGAGCTGAGTTCACTGGCTCTCTCTGAACCTCCCTCTCCCCAAAGAAAATGGGTGGCTCCGTTTGGGGGGATGGTCTGGGGTTGTCCAGCTGCCCCTGAGACTGGGTGGGTCAGTTTAATAAGGGCAGGGTTAGAAAGCGGTACCCTCCAGGCCAGCTCCAGTATGAAAGCTCACTGAGGTGTTTACAGCACCTGTTGGACCCTGGGACTGTTTCTCAATGGTTCTGAACTGCAGAGAAGAAGACAGAGGGGACATGTATCTGCTTCTCCCAACCCTAACACACACTGTTCCGTTACCCCCATCAACTGAAGGGTTTAATCCCCCTTTGCCACCACAGCCTCCTCCTCAGGGCAGGCTCAGCAGCAACCCCCAGTGTAGATGGTTCTGCCTGCACCCGCTGCAGGGATGGTCGCCTCACCGGAACCCCCACCCCCACCCCAATATACCCACAGACTCATTACCACGCCAAGTGGACAGAACTAAAAGTGGAAAAGGAGGAAGTGGGCCAGTCAATGATCACACCAGTTAAAGAAATGAGGAAGTAAGGGCTCCACATGCCATTTCAGCTCGTGGATGAATGAAGCATAAAGGAAACAGCACTCAGGAAGTGCAGGCCAGTCAGCTAAATCCAGGCTAACCCAGCCTCCAGACGGGCCTGTGTTCAAACCCTCACCATGCTCTTTACTGGCATCTGTGCAGTCATACCAACAGGACCTGGTGATGAGGAGGATGTGGTGGTCTGGGTGGACCCAAAGCTCAGGGTGAGCCAAGGAAAGTGTAAGGGACACACGACGTCCCTTACATGATGTTAGGCAACATTAACACATGTGTGACATTTAGATCATGGGAGGTGACATCCCCTCAACATAGGACCACATCTAGAGCACTGGAGTCATTTTTGAGGACGATTTATTTTTTTAACTCTTAAATAGTTGATTTTTCTATTGCTAAAAGTAAACAGTGATCATACAGTTTTGAAAATACAGAAAACATAAATCACTCATATTCCTCCACCTGGTCCTGAATCGCAGTGGCTCTCAAACCAGCACCATTAGCATCCCTAGGGAACTTGTCAGAAATTCTCATGCCCCAGCTGAGACCTACTAAATCAGAAACTCCAGGGATAGTGCACCCCACCCCCACCCCAAGTGACTCTAACACAGGGTGTTTCCTTCCAGTCTTTTTCTCAAAAAGAGCAAGAGTCACGTGTCTCAGCACCACAAATCCCCAGCCCAAGGCTTAACAGAGCAAGGACTCAATACGCATCTATTGAATAAGTGAATGAATGAATGATCTTTCTCATGAGCAGCTGTCTCTCCAGGGCCTGCCGTTCACCATAGTCAATGTCTGAAAACGCAGGATGTTGCATTCATGCCAGCTCCATCTCTCTGGGGGCCAAGGGGGGCCCAGGGCCCTGGGGGCTGGCTTCAGCTGCAGGCAGAGTGCGGGTCAGCCCCTCCTGGCTCAGCCTACCCTAGAGGGTGATCAACCACAAAGGCTGGTTTACAGGCCGCACAGGCCGAGTCTGCAGGGATGTGGGCAGCAGAAGCTGGTAAGCTTTTGGGGCCTGAGGTGGGGGCAGGGAAAGTGACTGCTGGGATGTGGGAAGGGGATCCAGGAGCGCAGGACCCGGCCTTACTCTGGAGGTTATTAGACCTCACTGAGCCTCTGAATCTCTGGGGGCCCCTCAGTCCAACAGTCCTGGCCCCAAAAGCTCTCTGGTGACTATTATCTGATCCAGCCAAGGGAGCTGGTCAGGAATAGGCTGGGGGGTCGGGGTGGGAGCTCAGCCTTCCAGGCTCCTTAAAGACAGCTCAGTGGCCCTGCTGAGCCCCCTCTCTTCCCAGGACCCCTAGCCACATGGAAGTGGGGTCAGAGTAGTCCACTCCACTGGACTCGGCAGGCCTGGTGGCTACACAACAGGGCTCTGAGGAGAGCTCCAACATCAGTTGGGAAATCAGAAGCCTCATTCTTACCCACAGACAGGAAAGGGACCCTCTGCCCAGCAGTGCCCACCTCAGAGCTGGGGCCCCCAACTTTAAAATCCGCAGTCAGAACGGCTGGCCAAAAGAAGCTGGGGAAAGGTGCCTAGACCAAGCAGCCTGCCACACCCTCCATACCCATCTCCTCTGGCCAAGTTGACCTCTGTTCCCCTTGAAGCTTACCCTGATTATTTAACCCAAACTGAAAATGGGGAGGTGGAGGGAGTAGGCCACATTGCTGCCAGGGTAGTCAGCCTTTCCCTTTACAGAAAATGTTTATTTTGCTCTGATTACAGAGGTAATTCCTGCTTACTGGAGAACACCTGAAAAAAAGCAGATAGCTGTCTGTCTCCCCCACTAGCTGCTGGTCGCCTGACCCTGGGAACCCCAGGGTGTCTTAACTGCGTGTTCTACTCTCAGGTGTTCCTCAGGCCCTCTGCTAGAATGGCCTTTGCCAGCTAACCCCTAATTATCTCATCCTTCCAGAGCATTCCCTCCTCCCCAAATCTGATTCAAACCCCACCCTCTGAACTCTGTGCTTCTCCTATGCTAACAACTTCAGGTTGCAGTTGCCTCTTTTCAACTCTATCTTCCTCAAGAACTGAGGGATGGCAGGGGCTGGGTCTGACTCATGCCTAGTCTGCGGCATCACCCGGGACAGGCCATGGTACATAGCAGGCACTGATCACTGTCTATGGGTGGATGAATGGATGGAAAAATGAGTAGGGTTTCTGCCCAGCCCGTTCTCTCTCCAGCCAGGGCAGGAAGGCCCTCCTGATCCCAGCCCCAAGCCAGCTACGATGCATCGGGGAGAGCCTGGGCTGCTCCAGGGCTGGCCTCAGACCCCCATGCCACTCCAGGAAGATGGGCAAAGTCTCTACCCAGGGAACCTCCTGCTCACCCACCTACTCCCTGACCACAGAGTGCATCTCTGTCCATCCCCCTACACACCTCCTGATGATCCATGAGGTCAGCCTGCAGGAAGCAGCCTCTCAGAGGCACACTCGCTCCCTGAAATGGATTGGTTCCCAGGAATCCTGGGGGAATTGGCCAGGAAGAGTTTCTTGGTCCATGCTGGGCCAGAGGGCCAAACATGAGCTCACACTGCTGCTAATAATAGCTAGAACTTGCACAGCACTACGGGGCTTCACAGTTTACAACAACATTCCATCTGAATCATCTCATGGGTCCTCACAGAAACCCATGGACAGACAGGACAGGAATCACCAACTTGCTCTAGAAGTGAAGAACCACAGAGAAGCACAGAGA